GGGTAGGGAACCATTGTAAAATGAAAATTTGAGCAGTGTGTGGCTACCAATAGTGCAAGCTATTCAGAGAAAGAAATTAAGTTATTCAGAGGGTTTAATGTACACTAAGGCAAGAGAAATCATGACGCACAGCAGGTGCTTTCTCTGGGACACTGTGCTTGCACACCAGGACATTGAGTAGTCCTTTGAGGAAAGGGCTAGAAAGCTATAGCAAAGCTTGGGTTACCATGTTCTCTATCATGTTTGCATGTTCTCTTGCTTCCCTGCAATTCTTTTGTTTCTTTCTTATTCCTTCATGTACAGCTGCTGCAACAAATTGCATAGTTTGTAAATGACAAAGAAGGCATCACGGTCTAATGGACAGGGTGAAAACACCCGATCAATAGCAGGCAGTGTTATCTCCTGCATTATCCCTTTCTGATGCCGCAAAAAAATCAAGTCACTTCTAAGTGAACTGCAACTCCTGCCTGAAGAGCTAGTTTATTCCTGCCACCCCTTCCACCAAGAGGACAGAATATTGTTTGTTTTCCTCCTTCTGCCCCAGAAAGACATCCATCGAAGAAGAGCTGTTTTAAAACACTTCCAGAGGTTTCCTCTAGAAACTTGCCCCTGAGGAATGAAGTGAAAATCAACATGTTTTGTGTCTCCCCAGCCAAGGCCCCAGCATCACTGCACTCCTGAGGATGTACCACTGTTGGACTCATCACATGGACGTGGCAGGTGCCTGACATAGCTGCATCCTCCTCTCAGGTCTCTGTTGCCCTCCCTGGCACAGCAGCAGCAGCTGCTGATGTTGCAGACAGCCCTGGGTGAACCTGCCTTTCTCCTGATAAAACTAGCTATGGAATTGTCCACCAGTGTCAATAAGCTCCTTGGCCCATTACCAAAGGCTTAAAGGTCTCATCCATGCTCAGCTATTTGAAGAGCCACCTAATGCAAAGCCCCTGAGTTAGGATCATAGGCAGCTACCTGGCAAACGGGGGAACCCAGCTCAGATCCCCTCAAGACCCCATCCAATCTTGCATACTTCAGCAGCCCTCCCTAAAAACACCCCAAAGTTGTGGTAATATCAGTGGAGGTGGTAACTACAGTAGGGTTTCTTCCTTCCCTTTCCCTCGTGTGTGTGTATGTCTGTATGCAGATGTGCCCACTTTTATGTAATATAGGAACAGATTTTTCCCTTATGTAACTCCCATGCTGCATAGGGATCCAGGTGGCTTATGTTCCTGTGACTTCCCCCTCATCCCCAGATCCCTCTGGTTTTATTGCCTCCTTTTTAAAAAAAACAAAAAAAAAAAGTTACTTTTTTCTAATTAGTGGAGGATTTATCCTTTCAAGTATGAAAGGCTTTAATAGTCCTTATATTTTTATCAAGCTTTTCTAATTTGTTTTCAGAGGTCTGACAGATTAATACTAGAACACCTTATAAAACTGCCACAGTACACACATATTAAGAATATATTTTATACATATATTTGGAACAAATCCTAAGCATATAATAAACTCAAAGTATTTACTAGCATTGCACTAAAAATGAATAACTGTCAAAAATATGGATGGACTTGTTCTTACTGTGTTTTCTTGTATCAAGATTATGGAGAAGGAGTAAATAATGGATTTTGGAATGGTGAAAAATATTAAATAGAAGGTTTTGAAATGCCCACTTTGGATGTACATTTGAACAACAGGATGTCTCTGTGATTTTTTATTTTGTGGTCAGTATGAAAACAAGATAGGTGTCAGAATATAACAGCTTGTGACAACAAGTTATTTTGGAAAAGAAACACACACCAAGTTATTATCCTGAGATTGTTCATTACCAGAAATTCTTCTTAAACAGCATTATTAATTCCACCTGTACCAGCAACCAAAGACCAAAAAACTTTTCCAGAATTCAGTCCTTTCAGTCATTGAGGAAGGAGTCATTGAGGAGGAATCTTAACTCTGAAGGAGTTAAGATTTGTGAATTTCACCCAGGACCTGCCACATTTAGGAAAGAAAATCATAAACTACTCAAGCCATTCCTGGTCAGAGCAGGTGATCAATCATTCAGAGAAGGAATCTTCTTCATTCACACACTCTTGGTTCCATCACTAGCAAGCTACCAGGTCTAGATTCACAATATTTATCGAAATGATACTTGGTCTCAAACACAAATTCCCAAGAAATCTCACAGTGGAGGCAAGCCAGCAAACCAAACACAAGCTCATCTGATCAGACACTAACATTGAAAAGTAGGGATAATCAGTACCCAGCCCAAGGATGAAACTGAAATGATCTTAGGAGCACCATCTCCTCCTTTAAATAGGTGACACATACCCATTCTGGCCATCTCAAGTGGTTCCGTAGCAGTTGATAGATTGGCTGTGAGATACTTGTAGCCAAGAGGGGGAGGCTGGAGAACAGGTAAGACTACTCTATGCTTTCTGGAGGGTGAACTATGTACAGTTAAAAGGCAACTTCAAGATCTGTCAAGTCCTCCAGAGATGAGGTGAGCTCATGAAATAGTGAGATATATTGGCAGTTCACAGATGAGACCGAGTTCTTCCTGCTCACCAGCACAAACTACTGTTACTCCTACCATTATTGCTTAAAGCTTTTCTGGAAGCTGATACCAACTAATACAAACATTGCTGAGAGAGATGTGTCATTGGTGTAACCTCCTTTAACACTGCATAGATTTGCAGCTGCTACTTAAGGAGAATTCCTGGATCCCTCAACAGTGATACGTGTTCTTCCTATTCTCACCAGTTGCCTGGGAGAGTGAGAAACCCTGGTTGACAATTCCTGGGGTATTTTGATTATCTTTTGACAGAAATACACAACTATGTACTGTAGCTGGCCATAAAGTCTACTGCATATAAGAAAATATAACCAGAATAAAAAGTTTCACTGTGCTTCCTTAGCAAATCAAACACGGATATCAGACCTGAGTTCTGCTCCTTACGCTGGCTTCCACAGCATCTGAGATGTAATTCCAGGTTTTGGTTCTCATCCTTGACACTCACTGTTGTGATACTATGTGGAAAGAACACTTAACACCATGCATGGGTTGAAGGATGTACGTGGCAGATTTATTCCTCTGACTGAAAGGACTACTTTGTGGAAAAGAGAACATTGTCTGGTCTGAGGCTATGAAAAAGTCTCTTTTAGGAATGAAGGACTATGTCTAACCTTCTCCTTTCCTCACCCACATATAATTACATTTCTCTGATATGGCCTTCCTTATTTGAAATTCCTAGCTACACGTCCACTTGAAGGCAAGACACCTTCCTTCTCTGCCATTCCCTCAAATTTTACTAAATCCCCTTTCTTCAAAGTAAACACTCTATTGCACATGCTTTTTCTTTGGGGAGAATAAAACTAAAGAAAAAACTGACAAATGCTAATCACTTTACTTGAGGCTGCACAAAAGATGTTGAGATAAACTATGCACTAGGATGTATTTATTTGGTCCACAGCTGGTGGCCTAAATTGCCTTTAGTGGCAATAGTTACTTCTGGAGAATATAGAAAAAAGGAGATAGGATGAGGGAGGGAGGGACAGAGTGAGAGAGAGAGAAAAAAGGAAAGGGAAATTAGCCTCTGGCTCCAGCTAAGTGACAACTGACACAGACTCCCATGTTAATGCACTGCTTTTGCAAGGTGCAAGAGCTGGCTAGCATGTGTACCTGCATTTTTTAGGCAATATTTATTAGTCACTTAAATGACTTTTACTTACTATCTTATCCACTAAATCTGTTTTTCCCCTAGAATAGGCTACAAAACAAAGACCAGAAAAGAGGAGAGGGAAGCAGGACCTGTTCTTACATTGGTGGCAATTGTGTCCTATAAGAACTGGTTACAAGAACAGCATCAGGTTTTGCAGGTGCAAGCCCGCAGAATAACTGCAGAGTAAAACCAGAATGAAAGCAACAAGGAAGAAACAATTCCGCGCCTTAGGCACGTGAAGGAGGAAAGCAGATTCCAATGTTAGACGTGAAATGTAGCCTGTTGGATGGCAAATGGTAGGCCCTTAGCAAGACAAAGTTTCAGACACTTAGAGGATAGTGCAATGTTAAAACACTCCTAGATTTCACTCTGGTACTGCAAGTGCCAACCTGGAACAAGAACTGACAAATGGCTGTACTAACTTCTTATGCCTCTGAAAGAGTAACCATCCTTTTGTTTGCTAGCTGAGGATGAAAAGAGCACACTGTTCTCTCTATCATAATAAAAACTATATAGTTTATACTTCACAGCCATTCCTGGTGCTCTGGACAGTAAGTCTCTTGTCTTGGCCAACAAGCTGTCTTTTGGGAAAGACTGTGATGCTCTTTTGAAGATATTTACATTCGAAATACACACTCTTCCCCACTCTCACGCAGTCTCTTTGCTGGCCACAGGTATTTGTATACAAAATTGGAGTGTTGTTACATCACTGGTCTTATTAATGTTATTCACTCTGGAAACTGTTTACCCCTTTAGGTAGGTTTTATTTCCACTCAAATTTATTTTGGTTTAAGTTTTGATCCACTAACTTAATTTGAGAGAACAAAACGGAGTTTCATTTACCCTCAGATTCTGCACAGAAGTTTTTCGTAATGGGTTAATATATGACTGATATATATCAGCAGTATTTTACACATATGAGCAATATTTGCTAAACTCTATGTTGTCCTAAGAACATCAATAGAAAATATTTAGAAGAATCATAAAAACTTACTGACCTATGGAATAGCCTGACTGCTTACCATTTATTAAACACCTTTCAACTCTTTGTTAGCTTTGTATTAATCCATTATAAACAGAACCTTAACATAAAGCCCAAATAAATATTTTTACACATTTGTGTTCAGTTTTGAGATTACAATGAAGCAGTGAATATAAATTATCAGCACATTAGAAAGTCAACATACTTACCCCCCTTTCTCAAAACTAACACCTTCAGGAGTAACTAATCATAGGAAACCAGAATTTCTGCATTTAGATATGCCAAATCATTTATCATATTCAGCAATTACCTTCAAATTGAATTTGAAAAGATCAGGCTGACATTGGGAAGTGAAATTACTAATAAGCTAACAATTTCATTTTCCCTGAAGACTGTAGTTCATGAGATATTTAGGAAATGGATTAGTTTCATCATGATGGGTTCAAGTTAGAGCTGGTAGCATAGGATGGAGATAATGAGAAATGGATAAAGATGGAGAATGACTCTCACCCAATAAAGGCCTTTAGGCCAGTAGGGAAATGATTTGGGTTCCCAGATCGTGCATCTGCTTTGCCATGACAGCACAGCTCCTCAGAGAAACCATGTGTTTGGGATCAAAGGAAATAAATCTTAGCAGAAAGAAATGTCTGTAGAATGTGAACTAGAAAAAGACCTTATGTATTTCAGGCATGGAAGTACAGGAAAGGCCGTTTTTCGGATTGTCAGACAATCATCTCCAGAAAACAGTAAAAGCTATAGGAGAGATCAACACAGCAACTAATTTCTGAGAGATGATGAGGCAATGTCACTTGCTTTGTCACAGGATTGTCTGAGGAACACTGCCCTACAAAGCTTACATACTGAGATTGTGTGGGTGGTTTCCACTTACCTGCCTTCCTTCCATAGCTCCTCGCATTTCCTTGAAAGTCGAGCTAAATTCTCCAATGAAGTCATGCTTCCCATTGGAATCCCAGTCCCAAACTATGCACTGAGGAGGCAAAGGGGAAAAGAAGAAAAAAGAACATTTTTATTCAGTTAAAAAGCAGGTTTTATTGAAAAATACTACAGGAGAAATTATATACATTTTGTGGAGTGTTTATCTGGAGGGAAATCACCAGACATGTTAAAAACATATTCTTGTCCAGATGAAAATGAAATGACAAGTGGATTCTCAACACTTGTTGCAGCTGTGTGTTATTGGGTTGGCTGATGGAAACAAGTTCAAGTATTTTATAAAGAAAGGACTCCCCAACTCCACCTTTTTGCTAGGTATAAAAATACAAGATTATGTGTATTTGCATGTTCATGGTCAAATGGTGTCCTGAATTAAGAGTAACTTGCCTCACTGAAGTACTTTACAAATATAAATTAATATTTAAAACTCCAGTTGCTGTGGGCAAACATTACCACTCTTCTTTTTACACACAGTGAAGGTGAGACAATAGTTACAGAGATTATTTTCCAAAATGGCTTTGAATGGAGACATGTCTGTGTTTGGTGTCCATATCTTGGCTGTCTTCCAGCATTGCTCAACAGTGACTATTCAAACTAAATCTTGCTGGTAGTCATTCCTAAATTCCTGTGTAAACATGAATAGCTCAAAGGGTCGGAGCTGTGAGAATTTCATTTTACAGGCATTGCTAAATACAGTTCAGCTAGCCAAGACTGAAGCACACAGAAACAACTACACGCTTTACTAAATATTAATTTTAAAACTGGCCCAGAAACAACAAAAGGTGTCACAACCTTAAAGAATAAAATACCAAATTTAGCCTCCTGATGTCCCTAGATAAAACTCACATATATTGACAGGATCAGGAGGCCTTTACTGAAGCTGTCCTGCTACAAAACACATCTTTTTATAATTATTTTTTTAAAGCAGAAATGCCTCAAAGCTATCTGCACTGTCATATGAAGAGTGCACTGACATGTGACTATCAGATGGCTTTGAAGGTAAATTTGACTCTCCCAAGGACCTAAGTAGGTATGTGCATGGGTGTTGGATGAGGACTGAACTGGTGGAAGTAGTAGAAGAGCTCCCCAGTGAGAAAGGCAGGAAAGAAACATAACTGGGCAGCAATAGTGAGGTACCATGTTTAGCAACAGTGGGCTTTATCAGGCCACTTTGCCTCAGTGAGGCTCAGTGCTTTTATGCCAGCACTAGTGGTCAGACAACACAAAAGGAAGAGCCTTCTCAAAGAATCCTCAAGCCATTTGAAGTTTGCTTGGTCCAAAAGGGCACTTTGAGTTCACCCAGAAAGGGAGTTAAATTCACTGGATCTTCACTGGATGTTGAGTGTTAAGTATTTCCAGAAAAGCATTTAATTGTAACAGACTTGCATGTCTACCAGCTGCACTTTCTGACCAGCCTGAATAATCCAGACAAATATGTGAACATTTTGGTCAATTTTGGACCATCAAACCAGTGGTTTGTAAATTTACTTTGCAGGTCGGGGGAAACACTCCATAGAAAGCTTGAGATATGGGCAAAGAGACTGAATTCTTTGAGCAAGCACAAATGGACAAAAAGTGTTTCAAGAGAAAGACTTTCTAAACCAACTCACTACAGGGGGAAGTCTCTCACCAAGTCAGCCTTAATGGGTATTCATCACCTAACATCCTCCCACCACAGCCATAAGTTAACAAATAGCCTCTTCCACACAAATATTTGTCCATGTGAGGTCCATTGACTTGAAGCATAGGTAGGAAGATACTTGATCTCTACATCTAAGCCAGTTAGCTGAATTTAATTTGCTTTTATGTGCCCAGGCACTTTATTTGTCTTTGAGGAAGCAACACAGGCAGGGATTTCACTAAATTTATATCCAGGACTCCTCCAGGCAGCACACCAGCACTCACATTATCATTCACATTCCTTTTTTTTTTTTTTCAATAGTTACTCCAGCTTTCTTTTGAACTTTCAGTGCTGTTCCACTTAGCCCCAGGATGTGATTTTGGTTGATGAAAGGGGAATTGCTCTGATCCACAAGAAGACATGCAGTAGAGGTACAAAGCACTGCCAACAGGGAAAGA